ATCCCACCCCCGGCCCCACCCACAGCCCGCTCCACTCCAGAGGTTTCCCAGCCGCGTGGGCGGCGCTTCGCTCTCCCAGCCTACGTCCATGAGAACCCCAGCGGTTTCTTCTTGGATTGGCATGCACCTCTTTGAGCTTGCGGTTAGGGAGTCTCTCAGTTCCAGGAGAAAGTCTGCGGCAAGTTACAGACCCGTCACCCAGAATCTTCAGTCCTGCCTTAGTTTCCCCCAGGCAACCTGAAGTCGGCGTTGCTGTCTAAGTGAAGCTGAATCGGTAACCTCTGGAGGGTTTTAAGCTCAGGGGGGTGGAAGAGAGGGCCCGGTTACTAGGCGGGCTCGGCTTACCACGCCTCGAAGACCTAGAGCCCCCAGGGACTGGAGAATGGCGGACCCAAAGGGGGATTCCTGACGCCAGCACCTGGTGCAGCACTCTTACTTTTTCTCCGCCCGCGGTACTGCTGCAGACCCGAAACCGATTTCTAACTAAGGCTGGAGAGAAAATCGGGCCCCATGAGTGTCGTGGCATTAGTGAAGCGGGGCTGTCGCAGGCTGGAACGCCCCCCACTGATGGGCGGAGGTGGGGGTGATGGCAGAAGAGTTACAGGGCAGATGAGAGGTAGGAAGACTCAGTCCTGGGTCTCTCCTCTCAAGTGGTAAACACTTGAGATAGGTGTGAAAGGCAGCTAGCTTACTCCCTCAGGAGGGCCAAGAGGTACGATAAAGTTGCCAGGCATTCTGGAGATCCAGATCCTGGTCCAGTGAGACCCCAGGACCAATCTCTGGTCGGCCCTTGGTGTTTCCACTCATCCTTGTTTGGGTATGTTTCCCATGAGCCTTGGTGTTGTGTTCTCTTTCCTAACCAGGATCCCTGTGCTGAATATCTAGATCTGCATAATCCCAAGTGACCTTAATGCCCTCCACCCCAAATCAAATTAACATTTGTCAAACCTCATCAAATTATACACTCAAAACGTGTGTATTTTAAATCATCTAAATTATACCTTAATAAAGTTGACTTCAAAAATCAGAGCAATAAACCTCCAACTCCAACAACATTTACTGGTCCATCTCCTCAGGGCTCTCTACCCATCTGGGTGACAATCTGCTAATTTGTTGTGGCAGTGGATAAACTGGTCTCCCAGGGTTCCTTTTCTTCTCCGATGACATCTGTGGCTTTTTGTTAGATTTTCTTGAATTTAGAATGGTAAAATTGGCCCAAGAGGAGGGAAGGAGCAGTGCTTTAAGAGGAGGCAACTGGGGAAGATATTTCCGGGATGGGGAAGGGAGGTAGGGATCTAACGTTTGTTGGGTGTCCACCGTGTGTCAGGATCTTTGCATATTATTTAATCGCTACAATAACTTTTTTAGAACAGGTATTATTCATATTTTTCATTCATTTATTCGACAATATTTATTGAGCCCTTACTCTGCACCAGACACTATACTAGATCCTTGGGCTACATCAATGAACAGATTGGGAGATCTTGCTTTGGGAGAGCTTACATTCTAGAGTGGAAGGAGACATCATAAACACACCTAAGAAATAAACATAAAATATATATGTTTATATATTTTGTATAAACAAAAAGTATATGAGGGTGGAGGGAGGTTGATGACGATAAAAGGGTTCAAATATATGGTGACGGAAGGAGACTAGACTTTGGGTGGTGAGCACACAAGGCAATATACAGATGATGTATTATAGAATTATACACTTGAAACATAATCTTATTAACAAATGTCACTCCAATTAATTTAATTAAAAAAATATAGTATATGTTAAAAGGTGATAAGTGCTACAGAAAAAAGGAAAAATAGAGCAAGGTAAGAGGATCTGGACGTGGAGGAGGAGGAAGTAGAGGAGGGTGGAGTGGGTTGACTGTATATTAATGTGGTCAGAGAAGGCCTTCTGGAGATGAAATTTGAGCAATGCCCTAAAGGAGGTGAGGGAATTGGCTAAGTTGTACAGTTGGAAGATATGCTTTCCAGATGCAGGGATTAGCCAGTGCAAACTGTAAGTCAGAAGTTGCCTAGAGTTTGTGAAGAAAAGTTGAGGCCAGTGTAACTGGAATAAAGTGAGTGAGGGGGAGAGTAGTAAGGCGAAATCAGGAAGGTAAAGAGCAGGGACAATTACATCATGAAAGGCCTTGTGGATCATTGTAAGGACTTTGGCTTTTACTTATAATGGAATGGGGAGTCATTGCAAGGTTTTGAGGGGAGGAGTAACAGGCAGTCACTTCTATTTTAAAAGGATCACTCAGGTTGCTGTTTTAAGAATAGACTAGGGGACAGGATAAAAGCAGTATGCCCAATTAGGAGGTTATTGCAGTAATCCAAGGTAGAGATGGTGGTGGCTTGTACCAGCGGGTAACAGGAGGTGGGAGAAGGGGTAGGGTTCTGGATATATTGAGGGGAGAAGATTTCCTGATGGATTGAGTGTGGTATGTGAAAGAGAAATGGCATCAAGGATAACTCTAGGATTTTTGGCCAGAACTACTAGAAGGATGAAATTGCCATCAACTGAGGTAGGGAAGACTGCAAGTGGAACAGTGTTAGTTCTGAACGTTTTGAGTTGTCTGTTAGAATCCACATGGGGATGTGGAGCAAGCAATTATATACACAATCTTGGTCTTTGATTATGCTCTTGGGCCACTGGATATATCAACTGTAACATTCGTTCTACCTCTGAGCTTCCTGCTATAGGAACGACCATATTTTTGTGTGTGTGTAAGCTGCCTTGAGTCAGATTTCTGTTACTTCAGCCAAATATATATTAATAAACACATAAACAATAGGAACAGCATATGCCAAGGCCCTGAGGTGAGAAAAACTTAAAAAATTTTAATTATGGTAAAGTGCACAACAAAATTTACCATCAGCACCATTTTAAGCACACAGTTCAGTAGTGTTTAGTACATTCATACTGTTGTACAGACTATCTCCAGAACGCTTGTCATTTTGGAAAACTGAAACTCTATACCCATTAAACAACAAATCCTCATTTTCCACTCCTCCCAGCCCCTAACAACCATCCTTTTCCTTTCTGTTTCTATGAATTCAACTACTCTAGGTACCTTATAAGTGGAATCATACAGTACTTGTCTTTTTGTGACTGGTTTATTTAACCTAGCAAAATGTCCTCAAGGTTCATTCATGTTATAGCATGTGTCAGAATTTTTTTAAGACTAACTAAGATTTCATTCTATGTATATATCCACCTTTTGTTTATCCATTTGTCTGTCAATGGACACTTGAATTGCTTTCATGTTTTGGCTGTTGCGAATAATGCTATGAATACGGGTGTATAAATGCCATATTTAAAAAATGTATTTAAAAACATTACTCTGAGGAGAGGTCCATAGTCTTTACTAGATTTCTAAAAGGGTCCATGACAGATAAAAATCCCAGTGCCTAGGCTGGTCAGGATTTGAACCTATCTTGATATAGAAGATAGTTTGTGCTTATCCTTTACACTTACGAGGTCATGCCACATTAGCAGCCCATACTCTTCTATATCAGGATAGGTTCTGCATCAGTATATGGAAGAGGAAGAAGACATTTTTCAAATATATATGTAACCTTATTTCTATAGAGTCATTGTTTTGGATCTTCTCATCCCTTTTCCCCTCATCCTCCTTATCACCACATACTTTGGACCTATGCATTGGACATGGAGATGTTCCTCTTCTTACCAGAGTCTGCTAGGCCTGCAGCCCTGTGGCTTTGGGGTGTCACTCTGCACTAAGCGAGCTCACTTTACTGGGAGCCACATGTTCCCCCAGGGTCCTGATGCTGCTGTATTTAGGGTACATGCTAACAGATGGCCCCAGCACAAGAAGTTGAAGCCCTGTCTTGAGCCGAACAGAAGTAGAACCATACATATTTTCCAGTAGGCTAGCCCAGACTCTGCTATGTATTAACTCCTTGCTTCTAAACTTCCATATAAAGGGTTGAGGGAGAACTAGAAAGGGAATACTTGAAGGGAACAGATAAATAGATTGCCATAGGAGAGATGGTTACAGGACTGTACAGTAGGGTTTTAGTAAGCAGAGAGCAGGCTGCATGGAATAGGAAGAAGAGAAGAGAATTGGAATTGAAAAAGGTTGGAGACTGTCAGAGAAACTTGCTTTATCCCCTGGTGTCTCTCAGAGAGAGGAGAGGAGATAGAATTTATGACTGTCTGAATAATGCAAATGCAATTTGGCTGAACCAAGGAAGAAGCAAAGGTATCTGAGAGGATGTGCTGCTCTGAGACCTTGGGTTTGCTCATGATATGTTCATAAATGTAGTAGGACAGGGTAGAGGTGCTTGGTGGAGGCAAGTAGCCTTTCAGGAGCACCAATGGTCAGGAATGAGACAACATCACCCAGTCCAGGAGAAGCCCAAGGTGAAAGGGTAAAGTGCCTTAGCTCCCCAACTCAGGCATTTCCTGATTGATATTTAGCACCTCCACAAGAATGGAGACCTCAGCCAGCCCTGGGTCTCCCTGGACTTAGAACCTACTCCCAGTGCAAAGCCACCTTCTTTGTGGGGATACCCTCGGCCATGTTCTTTCTGCATTCTTCTCCTATCCTGGCTTTCCTTGACTCTGGATCTGTTCCTGGAGGTTCTTTTTCTATCAACACTCTCTTCTCTCAGTCCAGACTTATTGCCCACCAGGGGTAGGGGGCAGACGTGAGGGGGATAGTAAATGAAGAGTTCATAAGAGATTGTACCTAGACCTCTTTCTCATTCTACTCTCTCCTAGGCTATTTCATTCATTACCATAAATTGGATTTTTAACTGAGTATTTATTTATTTTTATGGAAGTTATACGTATACATACAAGTTCTATACAAGATTTACAATGAAAAACAGTAACTCTTATCCTGCTTCCCAGTGCTTAAAGGGGATTACAACTCTTTTAGCTATTTCTTCTGGCATTT